AAAAATGTTATGTCTTGCTAGGCTGCATCATTCCTGATTCTTTGGCTAAAGAGAGAAGGTTTTGTTGGGATTTTTTTTTTTTGGCACCTGTTGGCATTTTCAGATTACCCACTTTTTCAACTCCAAGTCTGGGATATACTACACAAAAATAAAACCCAGGGAATTTACCTCCATGTTGTGACTTGATCCCTGGTCGCTAGCTGTTCTGCCTTCTTCTCTCTGTTTTTTGGAAACTCCAAGTCTGGGATATACTACACAAAAATAAAACCCAGGGAATTTACCACCATGTTGTGACTTGATCCCTGGTCGCTAGCTGTTCTGCCTTCTTCTCTCTGTTTTTTGGAATCATCTTAATTTGTTTATATATAATTTCTGAGGTTATAATTGTACTTAATGGAGGGAGTAGGGAAAAGTACATCTACTCCATTTACCTAGAAGCAGAAGTCCTATTGACTCTATTTTTAAAACTAACCTGCATTTTTTTTAAACATGGTATCTTAGAATATACAGTGTGAATAGAAAGTGATAGGACTGGGTTTTTTGCTGTTGTTTTTCGAAATTACTGAAACTAACTCATTTAAATGAGTGCTGATTCCTGGAAATCGGTTACTAAGTTATCATTTACAGATGATTTTGCATTGTCGACACTGCTTCAAGCATGTTTAGAACTCTATTGGACTTAATCTGGGCAATGAATCGTGTCTTTTTGAACACTCTCAGTGGCATAAATTGCCATCCTTTGAAGCTGTGTTTGATTTTTGGAAGCAAGTCCAAGTGGTTCAAGAGCCAAGATGGGTAGTAAAACAGATGACCAATTTGGGTAATATACTTCTCAGTCCAACACTCTTTTCTAAAAGAACAGTATGAACCAAAGTATTTTTATAGTTGATAGAGCCATTTCTTTTATATCATACAAAACCTCCCAGAAACTTCTGGTTTCCACATAATAAGACTGATTAGCTGTGGGATGAGTTTTGCATGAACAGTGCCATTTGGTATCGAATCAATATTTCTTTTCTGTGGTTTTGACATAAATGTTTCCTTGGGTCCTACAGATAATGGAGCTTTTCCGTGCAAACTTTGACAAACTGTTTTTGACAAACAGTTTGAAAAACCGTTTTTGGATCAACTTGAAAACACCATATTCCATTACTATTCTTCGTAAATACATGTTACTTTGTTCAATCTCTCCTTAAAAGTTCCAAACAAGTGCCAAAGCTTCTGTATTTCTTTTTATCATTCAAAATGTGTAGCACAGGCTTTACAGAAGCTTCATGTTGAAATTCTCCTTCAGTATGAATCAGTGTTCTTACAGCTAACCCTCTGTTTGAACAAATCCAGTCTCTGACATTTTCTCCCTTTTCTACCTTTTCATCAGTCCTCTGTACATCATCATGAGCATCCATACTACTTTTCTCAAGTCTTTGTGCCAGTTAAAAAAATAAAAGACTTCCTCTTTATAGTCCTTCTGCACCATACTTGTCCTTCTAGATGTCTCATGTCATTTGTCTTTAACTTTACCCAAAATTTGGTGTTAGTTCTTTGGTTTCTACAGTTGTCATTCCCCATCCCCATTCATCACAGTCTACAGTCCAAGAAAGTATGAAAGAACTGCTGCTGCGACTGCTGCTGCTGCTGCTGAAAACAGAATCACTTTACAGCATGTTCCTTCCATGCCCACTTTTTGTTTTGCCAAGCCATCTGAGAACATGAGCCCTATTACTTCATAGTAATGGAAAGATTACTAAATATGAAAGCAACATCCTATTTGTTTAACTATGAAGCTTGAAGTTATATGCATAGTATCTAAAATAGATGATAGATCTAATTCAGTAAGTACGGAATGGCCCTTTGGTAAATTCAAGATCTGCTAAGTAAATCCCCCGATTATACCCTCCCTCAACAACCTGATCCTTTTGTTCCTTTTTATGGTTTCTTTTCAATTCATGGTTTAACTGTTAGGAGGAGGGTGCCAGTTTGGGGGGAAGAGGGTTGCAGTATAACATAGTGTTTAAGAGCATTAACTTTGATACATAGCCTTGGTTCAAATGCTGGTCCTGCCAGTTTACCAGTTGCACAAATTACTTGGAAAAGTTGCTTAACCTCTTCCAATCTTGGTTTCCTCCTCAGTAAACTGGATAGTAATAATTACCTCTTAATGCTGTTGTGAAGGTTAAAGGAGATAATATATGTAAAGTGTTTTAGTATATTGTTTGGCACCCAGTGTTTGGATGGTAGCTATTATACCAGTTACTATCAGTCATTAAGAACAGTAGGATGGGGGCTGGCCCGGTGGTGCACTGGAGAGTGCACCACTTGGGAGCGCAGCGGCGCTCCCGCCGAGGGTTTGGATCCAATGTGGAGACTGGTTCCCGCTCACTGGTTGAGCACGGTGCGGGCGCAACACCGAGGGGTTGCGATCCCATTGCCAGTCCCCAGTACGGGCGCGACACCGAGGGTTGCGATCCCATTGCCAGTCCCCAGTACGGGCGCGACACCGAGGGTTGTGATCCTGTTACCAGTCAGTAAAAAAAGAAAAAAAAGGAAAAAAAAAAAAAAAGAACAGTAGGATATGGTGCTTCCCTCAAAGAGTTCAAAATCAGCATAATCCTGAGTTCAGACAAAAAAAGGAACAGTAGGATATGGTGCTTCCCTCAAAGAGTTCAAAATCAGCATAATCCTGAGTTCAGACTGACCCATCAGAAGAAAAAATAAACCAGACAAATAAGCCTAAAAGGCTATTACAATTTTATAATATAGAGAAATAAGTTTTCACCCTTGGATAGACCATTACTGGAATATTCTAGTCAATAAAGTAATCAGTAAGCAGTGGTTATTAATTATCTCATGTAAATTATACATCATGGTACCAAAGTTATGTTTTGGATCCTTCTAAGTTTGTGTGCAAAACTTCTTTGTTTATCTATATGATCACTTTCAATTGAACTGCCAGTTTTTCTCTGTCCCATTGGTTCGAGCACTGATTGAAGACCCATGAATATTATACCAGTGGAGGTAAGAAGCAGATGTAAATAAGCCAGGCCAGTCAGCCTCAGTCAGACAGCCTCCACAAGCTGGGGCTTTAATTCTAGGAAGTCATTTTCTGTAACTATATAAGTAAGCATGCCAGTGAGTTCATTCAAAGTAGTTCAAAATATGATACTGGGTTTATCATGGCTTTCCTCTCCTGCCAAACAAGGGAAATAAAATTCCATGCAAGCAGGAAAGAACTGAATTTGCGATAAGGAAACACTTGACCAGACGGGTGTTAAGCCTTCTAGAATGGCTGGAAAGGTTGCTACTTCTCCTTTCATTAATATTCCTGAGAAGAGAAAAGATACAATAGAGAAATACATGTTTGCCTTTTATGAGGTTATGTTAGCTGTTATTTATGAAGTTACAATTTTTTGATCACTGGTCAAGTGTGTTAGATTGATAATTGTTTTCACATTGTGCTGGTCTAGCCTGAAACTCTTTTTATAATCGTTTCCTCTAATTTCTCATGACTGGAATATCTTTGCTATCTTTCAATGTAAAAAATTGTACATGATACCAAGATAGTCAGTTGGATGTCTAAAATATAATCAAATGGTTGTTTATTTTGCCCTGCATATTGCCAAATAATAATTTTGAATATTTTCTTTTGAAATGACCTCTTGTTTGGAATCCAGTAATCTGCCTTTCCTCTTCAAATGACTTTCTATTATCGTTGTAGTTTCTTTGTTTTTTATGTGGCTCTTCTTTAGGAACTTTAAAATAATTAAAATTAATCTCTTCCTTAAATACTTGTTTAATAACTTTCCCTTTATTTGTCCAACTTGACTTTTTCATAGTAATCAAGAATCTTGCTTAGTCAGGAAAATTCACAAGCTTTTCTAGCTATTGAATTCTGTGATGAAATTCACTTTTGAATTCCAAGCTACCTACCCTTATAGATCAGCAGGAAAAAGAATGAATTCAGAAAGTAAAACCTCAGATCCTTCAGTAGTGGATGAAGTACCAAGCACAGCACTAAAATATATTTTTAAAATTATTAATAAGCATTCACTTCCCATGTTAGACCTCCATGTTAAGCCATTCTTAATTTAAAAAGGTATATTATAGGTTAGCCCACAGACTCCTTGGTTGATAGAAAAGACATCAGGTAGAATGACTCAAGGAGCTGGTGCCAGAATGAAGGTGAGAAAATAGGCATGAACAAAGAAGCAGGTGTATGACCGTATCATTTAAAGATCGGAGACTGCAGTGAACATGCTTCTCTCCTCCTCTTTTAAGGATTGAGAAATGATCATTATCACTTTAAATAAGTTACTAGTAAATCAGTCTGAAAGCCTATGATGAGATAACCTTCTGCATGCAGAGCTCACTTTGAAGACCTGTCCATATCTGGTGCTGTCTCAGCTTGCAGATATGCACAGCAATTTATCACGTGACTAATTTTTAATGTAATTTAGATATTTCAACCACCATACTCTTGATTTAATAATGTAGAAAATTAATAAATATTGGTTATACCTACCTGAACAAGCTTACTATGCACATGTGGCATAAAAGAAAATAAGGAATTCAATTTTTTTGCTTTATAATTCGGAAACAGGTTCTATCATTTTCCTTTTGATGTTACATATATTACATCTCTCTCTTTAGTACTTTTCTATATGAAATGCCAGATAGATTTCTGCTTTATTTTTAAGTTGTTACTTTCTTTTCTTCTTGAGACTTTTCAGACTGATTTTTGTTCCCTTAAAATGGGGGTTAAAATAATCTTTGGCAAGCCACCAAATGACTGCAGGTGTATTCAATACAACCTTGCTTCAATATTAACATTTTCACAAACTGCAGTAGGCAGACCCTTACTGTTTCTTCATTATCCTTTCCAGCCGTGGCTGAAAGCCCAAATGATGCCACTTTACCCTAGAGGTATTCTGTACGTGTTTTCTACTTTAATCACATCCTTTAAGCACCATGAATCCTTGCCTGATGGATTATCTTCTCCACAGGCAGGCAGCCACATCCAGACTTTGATGGGGTCCCAAAGTCTTCAGCATCGCAGCCGGGAGCAGCAGCCATATGAGGGAAATATAAACAAAGTGACCATCCAGCAATTTCAGTCACCATTGCCTATTCAGATCCCCTCTTCACAGGCCACCCGGGGACCTCAGCCTGGACGGTGCTTAATTCAAACTAAAGGGCAAAGGAGTATGGATGGCTATCCAGAGCAGGTAAGAAGAGTTTTTTAATAATTGATGAATTTTTCAAGAAAGTCCAAAGAATCCATGGCTTACCTTCCCTCATTAATGTGGTCCAGGACATATAATGCAGTCACCGTGTTGAATGGGGTGGAGCACTTTTTGTAGCATTTTACCATTATTTTCAGTAGTTAAGGACTACAACATATAGGAATTTATGGTTGGTAAAATGCTCATTTGACATAAGAAAAAAGTGATGGCTCAGAATAGTTTTTCCACTACTATCTTACACCCTCTCTTACCCGCTCCCAACTCCAATTTAGCGCTACAGCTCAGCTTTTGAATGTTGTAAAGAGCTTCGGTGGATTTATACTTACTAAGTCCTCTGGTGAAATTGTGTGAAAAATAAATTATTCCCCTCTATTTGTGGGAAGAATTTTTTTAAAGTCCTATCTTCTTCTACAGCTCAGCTTTTGAATGTTGTAAAGAGCTTCGGTGGATTTATACTTACTAAGTCCTCTGGTGAAATTAAGTGTGAAAAATAAATTATTCCCCTCTATTTGTGGGAAGAATTTTTTTAAAGTCCTATCTTCTGGTTGTTGAATAGTACAAAGATAAAGCTTTGCTATAAGGAAAATTATTAAAAACAGTTAGAAGAGAAATATTTATGACATGCATCAAAAGCTACTGATAATGCCATGTAAAAAAAAAAAATTGCTGCTCTTCTGACCTATCTAAAATTAGGATTTTCTTTTCCATTTAGAATCTGTTTCTCTTTCTTAAAACCAGAAAACTGAATGGGATCTCATCTACTGAGTTATATTAAGCTTAGAAAGTAAGATATTAACATCTTACTCTCATAAAACTAATTTCTCTTATTTCATTCTTCAGATAGGCAAAGCTGCCACTGACTTCACTAACTCCTTAATATGATTTATAAGGTTTTCACTTTATGATTGTTTACTCAAAGCTATACATATTACCTCACCTTATTTTCTAAACATATCAGACAGATTAACTTCATCTCCAGGTTTTTCCTATATGTTAACAGCCATTTATCATTTGGATCCCAACTGCTTTAACCATCTCTATTTTTTTTAATCGACACATTGTAATAGTATGTACTTACAGGGTACAATCTGATATTTTGATACATATATATGTTGTATAATGACCAGGGTAGGGTAGTTAGTGTATCCATCATCTCATGCATTTATCATTTCTTTGTGGCAAAAACATTCAAAAGCCTTTCCTCTAGCTATTATATAAGATACAAAACTTAACTGTTAACCATAGTCACCCTACTGTGCAGTGGAACACCAGAACTTATTTCTATGAAATTGTAATTTTGTACCCATTGGCCAGCCTGTCCCTTTTTTCCCTTCCCAGTGTCTGGTAACCAGTGTTCTATTCTCTGCCTCTATAATATCAACTTTTATTTTCCTTAGATTCCACCTATGAGTGAGGTCATGTGGTATTTGTCTGTCTGTGCCTGGCTTACATCTTCTCTACTTCTTAATATCCTTCTTGAAACTGAGATTATGTATTAATCGTTCTCAGAGTTACAGATACTTTTTTGAAGAAAATTTTCTTTCTTTCCTGCCTTTATCTAGGCCAAGTGTTGGATTTAAGGTGTAATAAACCAGACAGGTGACTTTAATCAGATAATAACGTGAGGTTTTCATTCTCCAGAGATTCTAAAAAATTAATAAAGTTTTAAATTATGCTTTGCCAATGCTTTAGCTTAGGAGGTTAAAAAATTGTTCGTATCTACTCCCCCACAATATCATAACTTTACTCCAATTCCCTGATATAGCTATTCTTTTTAGTAGCTACATATTTTTTTTCTCCCAGAGTTAATGTACTTAAAAATCCTTGGAGATCAATGCCCTCTATCTTCACCTACTTTGAATAGTGGGCTTAGTGTTAGCATGCAGTTATTCCACACCCCTAAATTTACAGGCCATTTTAACACTATTTCTCAAAAAATGCATACACTGTATAAAGTTGACTGAGAGGATTACTAAGTTTTAAAGTTTCATGTGTATTAAGTTTAAAAACATCATGATTCTTTGAGAGAATATATTTATAGTAGCTTTCAAGTGTTTTGATTTGCAGCCTTGATAACATCAGTTTCCTTTCGAACAGAGAGAAAAATTTAAGCATTCAATGGCTAGGTTAAGGAGAAGACAAATATAATTCCTTTTTCCTTTCCAGTTTTATGTGTGTTGGTTTCAGGTTGAAATGGTCTACAATTCTGAGATTAAAACTTTGGGGTGACCAAGAAACCCCAAGACCCTTTAAACAATTAGTAATGATCTCAAACTATGTTCCTCCCCACCCCCAGTTATAAATCTGAAGACAGTTTCTTATCACTTTTTTCGCAATTCAGTGTAATATTTGTCCACTACTAGTGGCATGCTGGAGCCAGCTCAGACTGGCCTATTTTTGTGCACATCTCTTCCCAATTCCACCTTCAGTGACATCACGTAATACGTCAAAATGTGGGAGTAATTACACCACAAAAATCAGCTAACACTACAAATCAGGGCACTCTCCCTTCCCCAACCAGCTGCTAAACATTTTCCAACACACCACTGACTACTACACTGTTTTCTTTCATCTCTTTTTCTTCTCCTAATCTTTCCACTTCTTTTATCTCTATAGCATTCAAGAAAAAGAATACTAGGATTAGATCTCAGAATTTGGAGTTCCAGTTTCATGTTTACTTTTATGAGCCATGCAAACCTAGCCAAGTCATCAACTTTCTTTCTGAGGTTCTATTTTTCTCCTCATAAAATGAGAACATCAACACCCACCAGCAACATTCAGAAAGTTTTTGTGAGTCAAATGATATGATTCTACACACACAGAGAGAGAGAGAGAGAGAGAGAGAGAAAGCCTGACCCTGAGAGTATAGAAATAAAAATACATGATTTTGAGAATTCACATATTGGAGAGAACTTAGTGATTATCAGACCCAACCTCCTTAGTCTACAGATAGAAAAACAAGCAAAACAAAAACTGTAAAAAGAGGCTAAAGGATATTATGTAATATTCTCTCACAAAAACACTATTTCATGCATTTTTTACTTTCCTAAGTTATATTTCTTTTAAAACTCAGACCCCTCTAATGTGTGAATGTGTACATTTTAAATCAAGACTTCTTTTTTTCCTTTTTGTCTTTTTTCGTGACCAGCAACGGATCGCAACCCTCAGTGTTGCGCCCGTACCGGGCCGGGACCGGCAATGGGATCGCAACCCTCGGTGTTGCGCCCGCACCTCGCTCAGCCAGTGAGCGGCCGGTCTGTATGTGGGATCCGAACCCTCGGCGAGAGCGCCGCCGCACTCCCAAGCGGCACACTGTAGCAGTGCGCCACCGGGCTGGCCCTAAATCAAGACTTTTATTCCAAATTTAACAAGGAAAATAATAAGAACATAATATGGAGTTCCACATGAAAATTATAAAGTAGTGACTTAAGCACAAAGACCACTAAGGTAAAATAAAATTTCTATTGTGGATTTTGGGCATATAAATCAAAACACTTTATTTTAATAAGACATTTCTAGTGGTACATTGATAAAGCCATAAAAAGAAAAACAAAATCCCACTTAAAAGATTGTAACAGCAATGTTATATCTGGTCAAGTACCATGTGGAAAAACCTAAATCAGCATTTTTAAGTGCAAGGAGAGGAGACACCATAAATGTAGTACAGAGAAAGACTACCCATCATGATGAAACACAACAATTTCTATTAAAGTAGACCTTGGAAATTTCACTTTAAAAAAAAAAGTAATCACTTATTGTAATTCTACAGGTGAGAAAAAATCTGATAACAATAAATACACATTTTTATTTAGGGAAATGAGTCTGAATCAAACTAGAAAAGGAAGAGACAACACTGATTGCCTGCCATGTATTTTGCACTGTGTATCTTATGCATAGGCCTGGCATCAGGAGCCTGTGACCCATACAGTTGTATAAGGTCCTGCACTTAGAAGGGCCCCACACTTAGATTAATGTTCTGTCATTAGTATCTTGTAATTCTTAATAATAGTTGATCAAGGAGCCTTGCATTTTCGTTTACACCAGGCCCCACTAATTATATAATTGGTCTTGCTTACATGTACTATTTCACTGAATCCTCACAATAATCTTGTTTCCTTTTAACAAATGAAGAAACCAAGGCTTTGAGAATATAAGTAATTTACAGAAGGTATAATTGGTCAAGCTGGAATTTTGACCTACGTTTGTCTGACCCCAAACCCAAGTTCTGTGTCCCAGTCTTACTGTTAAATTAACCACATGATCTTGAACACCTGCCTGCTGTGGCCTCAATGTCCTCTTCTGTCAATTGATGGTAATTAAACCTGCTTGAGCTACAATTCAGAACTATAGAACTGCCTTATGCAGATGGAATATTGATGTGAGCTCACAGAAACATTTCCAATTGCTTTGAAAAGTAAAAGCTAGAGAACAAATGAAAAGTTTGATTATAAACAAAAACATATCTCTATATCCCTTAGTGTGACCTAAAGAACTAGTGTATTTTTTAATCTGATTAAAATAAGCTCCATATAGCTATGAACATACATAATAAATGCTACCACTGACAATACTGAATGAATTAAAATGAGTGTCATTTGTGACCTAAAGAGAATATTTAACTTTGTTTAGCCATAAAGAAGCACTTAGTAAACTTCAATGTTCCTCCTCAGTGATGAAACCACCTAAACTTTAAAACCATCCATCACTAGGGGCCAGCCCGCCCGCTCCCGCCCGAGGGTTCGGATCCCACATACAGACCGGTTCCCGCTCACTGGCTGAGCGAGGCGTGGGAGCAACACCGCGGGGCGCGGTCACCTTGCCTGTGCC